GAATGATGAGGCAAGATGTGAGGTTTTTCCTAATAAACTCACTGTTTTTGGGTAAAAAAATTCCCTTTTGTTTTTCTTGCTGAAAGATAAGGTTAGAAAAGTCTCTAAATCAGTTCATGTTTTATCACTTTGTATTTTAAGCATATGTTGAGAATAATATGGGATACCCAAATAATATGAGAGATTGATTCTTTAAGTTATTGCAATTGCTTTTTTTGTTTCCAGCTCACTTACGTAGACATCACTACAAGATTAAGAGCATGTGCTCAATATCTCAGTTTTCCCCTTGTGTGTTCATGTTAAAAGACATGGTGAGTCTTCTTAATAAAGCTTTCTGGTGAGCCTTCTAATAGCTACTCTAAGAAAAATCCCAAGATGGAGTAACACGGAAAAGTGTTCTTTGCGATTAGTAGCAGCTTTCAGGCAAAACTTGAGAGGGTTGTTAGAGGTAGCGTATTTTGACTAGCTGGATTATCAAGTTCCAGGCTGTCTAAACATGCATTGTGGTCCTTGTTTTTCTCTCGGCATAGCACATTTTCTAAGGTGGATAGGTCACTCCCCTTATTGGCAACAATTTATACATCATACAAATAGTAGAAGCAATGTAAAAGAAGCTCAACTTAATCTGCATTTTTATCAAATGAGGATTAGTTACATATATAATGTGCTTCCCTTTTCCTCTCTCTTTTACATGCACGCACGACACACAAACACGTACGTAGTTTTATGTAGATACTTCTTGAATCACGATTAAGCTGGTTTTAGGAAAATTAGAGGAAGTGACTGCTTAATCTTAATAGTTTTGAAAGAAAAACTAATTTTAATTTTCATACTTGTCTCTATGCTGGGATAAAAATCTAGGTGCAGGATAAAAAAAATTAATAGTTTTTTGTTTCAAAAGCTATTAAGATTATATAATATAATAATAATAATAATAATAATATTTAAATATGGGAGTGCTTTAGGTGTTTCTTGTTTGCAGCGTAATAAGCTTTTGTCGATCTGCTCACACTCACTTGAAGGCGAAAGCATCAGAAACATCATCAGCAAAAAATTTATAAATAAGATCGAAACTTCTCCAAAAAAAACTAAACAACAAAAAAAATTTACCACGTGCATTGCACGTGCAATCCAACTAGTATATATATGTTTGTGTGTGTGTGTGTAATTGTATAATATGTAGGGGAAAAAAAATCTTAATTGGTCCCCGAACCTCAGTATCTTTAATATAAAGATGAGTGCAAGAGGTGTTAGCGCACCGAAAGATCATATATATATATATTTTACTTTATAACTAAAGGAAAATCTTATAATGAACAGTAAAATTTCTAATTTTCCACGTTTTATCTTCTTAATTTTTCACAACCATCCATTGTTAACTCCCACGTCTAACACGTCCAAGGCAAAGTGCTCCTCACAAATTCACCTTTTTCCCATCCCTCTTTCTTCTTCCCCCTACCCGTGCTCTCCCTCTTTTCACTGTTTGAGGAGACTACTCTCTGAAGAGATTCTCAGGCTAGGGTTAGGGTTTCAGAAGAGAATCTTTTAGGGCTTGGCTGGGCTCGGAATCAATGAGCTATTAAATTCTCCGCACCCCTCTATCAAATACGCTGTCATTATCTTTTTAAATCCCGTCGTCAGAAACGAAGCCTGTTGCTATCCCGAGGGTGATTCCGATGCCGAGATCGACGATTTCTCTGCTTGCTATTACGACGACGATGAGGAATACGAAGGAGGAGGAGGAGGAGGAGGATCTAAAGTTATGGAGGTCAATGGAGGAGAAAGGGAACAAGAAGAGGAGGCGGAGATTGATGATGAGCGGGGACTGCTAATGGCCCCCTATCGAGCTTGGTAAGTTGGAATTCAGATCAAATATTATATTTTTCTAGCTTTGATGAGATTATTTGGTGCCTTTTTGTCGTAAAAGTTGGATCTTTTTGTAGATTGTTTATTTGTTTCCTCTCTATTTATTGTGGAACTAGGCTTTTTTCCGGATTTGATTTTGTCTATCAGTTATTAGCTGTAACCCAAGTCGAAATAAGTAGCCCTGGATTGCTAACGGTCCCCGTGGTGTTTGGTGAGTTAAGTCTATATTAAAGTTGGAATCTTGCAGATTGTCTTGCCAATATTGACTTTTTTTGTGGGGAATTTAAGCTTTTGTTTGTTGTTTTTATTGATGATGCGACTGCTCTAAGGTTATAGAATTAGGGAATTGATTTGCAAGTTCTATAAAATGTTCCTATTTGTTTTAGGTGTGCTAATGGCGATGAAGAAGGAGGCGATGAAGAAGGAAATAGGCGCCAGAGGAGGAGATTGATGGCGTCTCAAAGGCGTATGCTTCTCAAGGTTATCATCCTCGGCGACAGCGGGTTTGCGTACATCGGCACGACTCTCTAATTTTTTTGAATTTCATGTTTTGCGTCTGATTCTCTGTAATTTTTGGAAACTTTTGTTTGATCGTGTTTAGGGCTGGGAAGACGCCGCTGATGAATCAGTATCATTGAGTTCTTATGAGCTTTGAATTTCAACAATCTGTATTTTTTAATGTGATCTGAGATTTGGAGTTATTTTACGTGTGATTTGGACTTAATTCGGTAATTTTAGATATGTGAATAAGAAGTTCAGGAACCATTACAAAGCCACAATTGGGGCTTATTTATAAACCAAAGAGATTCAGATTGAGGATAGGCTCTTCACTTTACAGGTTAGATTCCCCTTTTTTGTTTTCATCTTTTTTTTCTTCCTCAAAAAGACTTTTCAGGTTTTTATTTTGTGTTAGTGCCTACCAATTGAGCTATTTTTATTCATATTAAAACGTGGGTGATGATAGACGCTGCTGCGTTTGAATACCATTTTTCAATTTTCTGTTTAGTATTTAAGATGAGTGTGGACTGTTGTGCCATTTCTGTTGATTATCATTGTGCTATATTTTGCATCCTAAGTTAAATAATCTTGATTTCTTTAGGACAGTGCTGAAGTTGATTGGCTACTTGAATTCGTGTATTTAATCCCCTAGCGCTGTTAATTGCAAAATGTCATGAAAACAAAACAAAACAATTTTTTTAAAATTAAATAGAAATCTTTTATGCACTGCTATGTTAGGAGAAGTGAAATGTTTTTATTAGTCATGCTATTTTTATTAGTCATGTTATTCTCTTAATTAATGATTTATATTACTATTTATTATGGTAACTTCTCTTAGATTATGGTAACTTCTCTTAGTTGGTTGGCTATTTTTATGCACTTGCTTTTAAAGATTATTCTCTGCCAACTTCTCTTAGATTAAAACATCATTGTTTGATTTTTGGTATGCTAAAGTCAAAACACCAGGGCGACATGATGATTTCACTTCTGTATGTATATTCCCTAATGCGGTTATTCAACTTGCATATTCTTTCAATATAATACGTTTCAGACATTTTAATATAATACGTTTCAGACATTTTAGAAGTTGTTGTCATTTGCATAGGTGTCCATTGAGATGCATATAAATTGCCAGGTTTTTGATTTAACATTAGAGCTTTCATTTTGTGAACTGTACAATTTTATGAAGATTCAATCCTGTAGTTTCAAGAACATTTTTCTTGCAAGCAATTCTCTTCAATATTTGACAGTAGTTTCAAGAACATTTTTCTTGCAAGCAATTCTCTTCAATATTTGACAGAACTTTGTTCAAACAATTTGCGGAACAAATCCTTTGCTGGAATTTAAATCAAGCAAACTGTACATAGGAATATATTGTTTACTGGATTATGTTTCTATTTGTTTGATTCAACCCATGAGTTAGCCCCTCATGAAAGTGAGGCTCCTTTTGTCATTTCAATTTATTTTCCACTTTACCCATCACGTTATTATAGATTTTAGTTGGGTTTAATTTATTTTTCTTACGTTACTGCATATAAGTCTTTTCTTTTACATTTTTTAAAGTAAAAATTTGGTATATTTTCATACATGGTTTGCTGTTTATTGTGGGTTATCTTTTTGTTCGAATGTAATTTCGATTTGAGCGTTGAGTTTTTCTTTTTAAAGTTTGAGTCTTTTTTTAATCCTTTATGATAAGGCCTCTACTTTCATATGATTTTTTGTGAAACTTTGGTAACTTTTGAGACCTGGGTCTCTTGTGTATGCTCATGTCGATTCGGGTAGTGGGTTTTGACTGTAGTTTTTAAATCTGCTATTTTTTAAATGTTTCACCCGAAGTACGTTTTGGTAGTTCAAGTTGGGTTTTGGCCTTTGTAAAATTGAAATTTTTTCGTTAGTTTCCTGATGCAGGCTGTCTTAAAATATATAATTTTGATATCTTTGTAGTATTTCCGTAATTTTAGTTGGGTTTTATTTATTTTTTATTTTGATATCATTGGAGCAAGATGATGATGAAGATAAAGAAACCAAATACCGCTTAGATTCAAAGTTTGTTTTTTATTTAACTTGCTTTTAAAGATTTTTCTCTGCCAACTTCTCTTAAATTAAAACATCATTGTTTGATTTCAGATATGCTAATGTCAAAATATCAGGGCGACATGATGATTTCACTTCTGTATGTATATTTTCCCTAATGCATTTATTCAATTTGCATATTCTTTCAATATAATACGTTTCATACATATTTGTGCGCAATTATAAAGATAATGACAGATCTTAAACTACTACAAACTGTGGAGTATAAAGACAGGATATATGATGTGAACTGGGTCCATTGCTAAACAAAGTACAAGTTAATGATGAAGAAACATTTGCAAACTTGAGATGAAATGATGCATGAAGTTCTGACTACTATTGTTCTATCATTATTAATCTTTTTCCTTAGCAACATAATTACTAATTTCTATTTGATACTTTTAACTTATTTTTTTGTGTGAATTAGTAATTTCAGGTTTACTCATCAAATAGTCTTTCTCCAAACATCAAACCACCACCTATTGATGATGGAACACCCAACGAGAGTGTTGCTGATGTGTTTGTGTGAATTAGTAATTTTTTTTGTGTGAATTAGTAATTTCAGGTTTACTCATCAAATAGTCTTTCTCCAAACATCAAACCACCACCTATTGATGATGGAACACCCAACGAGAGTGTTGCTGATGTGTTTGTAAGGGTGACACAACTCATGTCTATATTAGAGACACAATATGCGGGAGATACTGTGATTATTGTTTCGTCAGATTCAGATAATTTGACAGTTCTACAAGCTGGTTTAATAGGACTCGATCTACGCAGGTAATTTCATCTCTTACACCCTTGGTTTTCTGTTGAGAAGTTGTGATGCTACAAAGTTAGCATGTTACATGTCTAATCTGGTCTTTTATTTAAAACATGGCTTCCCTTTTTACCTATTTGAATGTGTTTCCTCATTGAGCTATCTCCCAGCCAATAACGTCTTTTACCTCTCATTGCAGAATTAGTATTTGACAATTTACTTCCTGTATTTGAGTCTGAGGTACCTTTTTGGTGGGGTTAGCTCAACTCCAACCCGCTTTGGTGGACATGTAGAGCTAACTCCTTTATGAACTTAAACTTCAATGTTATTCAAACTGATTTGTTGTTATCATTATGATTATAGACCATCGTCAATATGGCGTTTAGAAAAAAATAAGAATGTTACGATGGACGAGGGGTTATACACAAAGAGATATTATAAAAAATTCATTAAGAGGTTAAAAATTGCTTCTATTGATGATAAAATGGAGAATTGTTGGAGATGGACCAGTCATATGTGGTGGAGGTCATCGATGCCCGATTAGAAGAAGCGTTAAGATCACAACGGTGAAAGGAGGACCAGAGGTAAGCTTGAGGCCTGAGAGACCCTGGTTAGAAGCTATCAGTAAGGATATTTACCGAGTAACTCAGTCGAGGGGATATCCCTCAATAGCACCGAGTAGAAGAGGAATCATGTAGCCTCCCCAAAATTTTAGGATAAAGGCTTTGTCATTGTTATTCTTGTACCGTCATCTATATGGTCATCGGTGGCATTGTCATGGTTTTCATGGCTAATTCATGACACTATATATTGTTGAAAGTTGGATACCATTGCATTAGGTTCTACTCTTATTTCTTCTTCTTCCCATCTACATGAAGCCTAAAAGAGGTTAATTATCTTTTCACCCTTTCCTAGCACTGAAATCTCAATTTTTTAGAGCCGGATCAATCACTTAATGCGAATCTTTTCAATTCATGCAGGCATAATGGAATGTTCTTCGGTCCAGGGGATGTGAGGTTAGTAGATCCGAAGAGCATTCCTGACGTCAAAGAACCACCTTCAGCTGTTTACAAATGTACAAATCCTCCAAGCTGCACTTGATGTTCTCCATGGGCTTTGTTGAAGTCTCTAGGAAATAAAATGCTTATGTTTGTAGAAAATTTAATTTGGAAAAAAAAAACAGAAGCATGCTGCTGAAAGAGAATCAGCGTATCAGCAAAATCTCAAGTTCTTGCTGGTTTATATTTGCAGCATTTACATGTATTTGTAGTATTATATATTTGTAAATCTAAATACAAATAGATTGCTAGAAGTTGTACTGCACTTTTGATGTAAAGCTGCTAATATTATGTTGTTATATTGCTATATATATTGATTGTTGTAGGTGGCTGCTAATTCTGCGTGTGGATTTTGCTGATAAATTTTCCCAGAAAACATTTTGTGTTCATTCTTGCTTTCAGTTTAGGGCGTTCACATCGAATTTTATTGTCAAAATTGTTAAGCAGGGGTTGTTTTTGTTACAATTCAATGCCAAATTTTAGTGTTTTTAGTTGACTGAAGAAGGAAGATAGGGACATGGATGGAATTTTGGGGATGTAGAGGTCCAAATGTGAGGCCTTTTAAACAAAAGTTTAAACGGTGGTATAACTGAGGATATTAAAGATAAAATTCATGAAACTGTATGATATTATTAGGGCAAATTTGAACTTTAAGATATCAAATTTAAGTGTTGATGCTGTAGAGTAATTAAGTGCAATTGGCCCTTTTCATCATCAATCAATATTATGTAGTTGTAATTATGCAAAAGTTTAAGATGTATATTGAAACTTAATTTTGATACTTTTGTTAAATGTAATTACAATAGATTTGATCTTTTTTATCTGTATATGTAAAACATTTGATGTTTTATTCAAAAATTTATATATGTTTACAGGAGCATATATCATATCATATATCACAGTTGTTAGGTTAAATGCCAAGTTAAATAATTAACAGATCCATAATGTTGAACTTCACAACTATATACATTACTTGAAGGGATAAGCAAGAGATTTAACTATCTGTGTTAAGAGTTTTAATTATCTATTTTTCTATGTTTAAATATGGACTTCAAGTATATGATGAATTGCAAACAAATACCCATCTGCATATCCTCATTGGTTATATATGATGGACTTCAATTATTCTTAAGATAAATTTATCGTGACAAAACAATATCCTCATTAGATACATATGATGGACTTCAAGTATGTTTAAGATAAATTTATCGTGACAAAATAAAAAAATGAGATGAGGAAAAATTACGCACAAAAATAATCTGTAAGGATGTCGTGCTTAGTTTTTTATATTCTAAATTTTTTTTCTTTGTCTGCTATACCAATTTCATGTTGTACGTCTAAGACTTGCTTTCCTGCTTTGATTGATCCTAATCCCGTTTACAAAACTCTAGTAGATAGGTTTTGGCATTTCTCTCTGCTATCAATTGTTAGTATACATGCCAACAAGAACGCCTCGAACAGAGATGCAATACACACCCAAACGAACGTGGATTCACAGAATAAAATCATCAGATACAAATTCAATCACAATACTCACAAATATAACATGATTCACTCTTACGGAGTTACTCCACAGTGTAACGACGACGCCCAATCCCTTTATATTCCTTTCCGAGGTTATAAAGAAAAGATCAAAGAGAAAACCCTTTCTTGATTAAGATACTCTCCAAGAATTCTCACAAACTCTCTCTTTGTTTTCCCTCTCACTCTTCTATATGAGGAGTTGTTTCTAGGATGATTTTTTCCTAAAGAGTTTTGGGCTTATTTATAGTGCCTAGAAAAAAACTATGCACTAATTTTATTTTATTTTTTTTCTGTGGTGGGGCCCGCCACCCTTTTTTCAAGCTCTTCCTAACTCTGCCAAAAAAACGGTGCCTAATACATGTCCCTTTCAACACCTAACACACGTCCCTTTCAACAATCTCCCATTTAAAGATTTGATTGAGTATCAATCATATTTTCACACCATTCTTGGTTGCATCATCTGGATGTCTTTTATCTTTGGCGTCTTGCACGACCCTCAGCATTCTCAACAGAGGCCATATGAGTTTGTACACAGCCTCACCTTCTTAAGCGGAACTGGCTTGGTCAACATATCGGCTTGATTGTACCTCGTATCAATCTTCACAAACTAAAACTTGTTCCTGCTTTGCCATCTCCGTATGGCATGATGCTTCACGTCAACATGCTTGATCCAAGCATGGAATATGCGTCGTTATCTGATAAGTGAATGACACTCTGACTGTCGTAGTGGATAAAGTATTTCTCAAAACTTACCCCAAGCTCGAGAAGAAAAGCTTTCAACCATAACAACTCCTTTGCTGCCTCTGCTGTAGACACGTACTCGGCTTTGGTTGTTGATATTGCCACAATATCATGTAACTTGGATCTCCAACTTATCTCTCCACCACCCAAGATGAAGATGTAACCACTCGTGCTCCTTCTTGAGTCTATATCCCCAGCGTAGTTTGCATCACAAAAGCCCTCTAGCTACAAATCCGCCCCGCCATACTCAAGATAATGGTCAGATGAGCATCTCAAGTAGTATAGAAGCCACTTGACCGCACCCCAGTGGCGATTTTCTGGATTGCTCATGAAACGGCTCATAACTCCCACTCCTTGTGTAATATTTGGCCTCGTACACACCATCACATACATCAAACTCCCGACGGCAGATGCATATGGTATGTTGGCCATAAACTCATGCTCTTCAGCAGTCTCTGGTGCTTGGGTCTTTGATAGTTTGAAATGGCTCGCAAACGGTGAGCCCACCGGTTTAGCTTTTTCCATGTCAAACTTTTTAAGAATCATCCCAATATAGTCCTTTTGAGACAATCTCAGCCTCCGTGCTGATTTGTCTCTGATGACCCTCATCCTAAGAATCTAGTTTGCTGGACCCAGATCCTTCATATCGAAGCACTAGGAGACACGCCCCTTGAGTTCTTCAATACGGGCCAAGTCAGGCCCAACAATTAACATGTCATCAACATAAATTAAGAGTATAACATAAGATTCACCATATCTCTTGATGAAGCAACAGTGGTTTGTGTCGCATTTGAGAAACCGTTCTCCTCCTTCGAGATCTTAAACTTCATGTACCACTGTCGCGGAGCTTGCTTTAGGCTACACAAGCTCTTGCGCAGGCGACACACGAGATCCTCCCTATCTCGTTCCTCAAAACCTAATGGTTGATGCATATAGATCTCTTCCTCCAGATCTCCATAAAGGAATACCGTCTTCACATCTATCTGCTCTAGATGGAGATCTCGAACTACCACAATGCTCAACACAGTCCGGATTATGGTCAACTTGACGACGGGAGCAAAAATATTAGAATAGTCTATCCCTGCTTTCTGCTCATAGCCCTTCATTACAAGCCTCGCATTGTAGTGTCTCCTTCTATCGGCTTCATCATTGACCCAAAAATCCACCGATTATGAAGAGCCTTTCGCCCTCTTTGAAGCTTTACGAGCTCCCAAGTCCTATTCTTCATCAAGAATTTTATTTCTTCCTCCATGGCAGACTCCCACTTGCCCCGAGTTTTGCTGCTCTGCTGTAACTCCTCATAACTCTCTGGCACACCACTGTCAGTCAGGAGAAAATAATTCATAATGGAAAGGTACCTCTCTGGTACCCTTGGATTTCTTGGAGCTTTGTAAACTATGATCGACAGCTCTGCTAGATCCTGCTGCTATGCATTCGACACGTTCTCTTGGTCTTCATCTTCTATGCTGATTGGTATCTCACCATCGTCCTTACTGTCAGCAATATCTGAGAAAAGAGGGGGAGATAGCTAACTCCCACTCACCTCTTTGGTCTTGTACACCACATCCTCATAGAACATAACGTCACGATTGCGCATCACCTTGCACGCATCGTGATCCCAAAAATGATACTCATACTCATCTCCTCCATAGGCGGTGAAAGAGGGCTTCTTTGACTTTGGATCAAGCTTTGACCAGTCTGCAGGATTGGTCATGACATAGGCGTCACAACCAAATACTCATAAGTGTTCTAGCTTTAGCTTCTTTTTGGTCCAAGCCTCTTCAGGTATCCTATAATTAAGAGACACGGATGGCCCACAGTTGATCAAATATACAGTAGTATTCACAACATCGGCCCAAAAACTCTTGGGCAATCCGGAGTGGATCCTCATACTTCTGGCACGCTCTAAGATAGTGCGATTCATACGCTTCGCTACTTTGTTATGCTGAGGTGTACCTGGAAAGGTCTTCAGTCTCCTAATCCCATGGGATGAGCAGAAGTTCTCGAACTCCTGGCTACAATACACGCCTCCATTATCAGACTTTAGACACTTCACCTTATTGCCTATTTCGTTCTCCATACAGGCAAGCCACTTCTTGATGATGATAAAAACCTCTGACTTGTGCTTCAAGAAGAACACCCACAGTTTTCTAGTAGCATCATTAATGAAAGAGACAAAGTAAAGAGAGTTACCAACAAATGGGACTTGCGTAGGTCCCCACACGTCGCTGTGCACCAACTCTAATTTTTGCAGTTTTGGTGCCGGCCTGGTCTTGTTGAAGCTCACATTATTCTATTTGCCTAGGATGTAGTCCTCATAGAAAGTCTGATTGATCTTATTCAGACCCGGAAGCCTCTCTCCCACGGTCATAATCTGCATCCCCTTCTCGCTCATGTGGCCAAGTCGTCGATGCCAAGTCATGCAGTCGGCAAATGATGATGATGCTTGTCCTACGGGAAGCAAGTGGTTGATCTTCCCATTGGTGATGTAGAGAGACCCCTTGGGTTTGTCGTGTGCTACCACCAGGGTACCCTTGGATACCTTCCAGCTTTCCTGCTTGAAGGATACTCTATAACCAGAGTCAGCCAATTGTCTGACTGATATAAGATTTTGCCTGAGTTTTGGTACATGCCGAACATCCTTTAGCATCAAGGTGGTCCCGCCCTTAATTTTGAGGGTACAATTTTCATTCCTAAAAACCTTGCAAGATTGATCATCGCCAAGATAGACTGTCTTCAAGTCCTTCTTCACGAACAATGAAAGCAGCTTTTGTTATGAGTTTGCATGGAAAGATACGCTAGAGTCGATGACCCACACATCGCTTTTGTCTTCAAGAGATAGGAGAAGCACATCCGA